TACAGGCCATCGCTTTTGTGTTGGAGGCCATCGCAAGGCCGTTGGGGCCGACTCCTAGGGTTGGAGGCCGTCGCTAGTAGGCGGTAGGTAGTAGACACAAGCAAACCAAAGCAAAACAAAGTGACAGCAAGAAGCAAAATTAGAGGTCGTCGCTAGTGGGTTGGAGGCTAGGGTACCAAGTTGGAGGCCAGTGCTACCAGGTTACCAGAAACACAAGAAACACAAGACGCACAAGACAGCCAAGGTTGGGGGCCAATTCTAGAGGCCAAAGTTCGGGTTAAAGATCCTGGTTACAAGGTTGGGGGGCCTACCTGCAAACCTATAGAGTAGACTAGAGGAAAACCCATTTCCTCGTGTTTTCCTCAATAGTGGAGCAGGTACGTGGAAATGGCGTCCCATTTCCATATCCTCAGATACATCGCCAGCTTCATTGACCAGGCAACGATGTATCTGGCCTAGTCCCCTGCTCCAAACCCAAGGGTTCCCTGTGATTCCAAGGGGTACACACACACACTCACTGGAGCAAATCCAAAGACCATCAAAGACCAATTTCTTTTTGTTTCCTTGAGGTGTTGAAGGAGCGCCACTCCGACCCATGGAACTGGCACGAGTACTTGGGAGACGAGCCAATTGTTTCTAGGCATCAACGGCCGATTGCATGTTAAGCAGTTTACACTGAGCAGTTTACACTGGCGTCCATTTCAATCTCCTCAAGTCACAGGTGGTTGTCGATGCGGTGGAGAAACAGTTAGGGGACAATTGGATACAATTGGATACAATCAACACCTCCGTTTCCAACAGTTTAATTTGTTTGTTTTTTTTTCTTTATCTTTTTTTCAGCAAAGTATGAATGTGTGATGCATGGTTTGGAATGAATCGCGTGTTGATGCCTCTGCTGTCAGCCTCATTATCAGATACCAAGGATGTTCTGGAGGAGGGTGAAGAAGAGGAGGATGCCGAGATGCTGGCCTTGAAACCAAAGGCCTCCGACTTCCTTCCTGAGACTTCCCCAGACTGCCCAAGCTTCTAAAAGACCATATTCCGATGCACTTTCTCAGAATTATTGTGGCATCAAGAGTACAATTGATACTGTACTATGATACCATGGATTACCATATTGGCCTTATTAGCTGCTCTGTGGCCAGGCGCGGAAGAACATCGACCGGCTGAAGAGCCATTTGATCACAGCCCACTGGACCAGCAGACGGGCGGTTGGATACCTATCCTCAGGGTACCTGAGTAGCTTACACATGGGCCATGATCAATCAGATAGGTGCCATATTGTTTTGGGAGGGTATTAAGGTGTGTGGAATATGTGGAATGGTCGGTTGACAATGTTACATAATGCTCCTGATGCCAAGATAAACAGTGAGTTGATCAGATCCAAACCTGGGAGACCATTCTCAATGCTAATTCTCAAGGTATATGGGGGTTTTGGGTTTTGGCTGCAGACGTGTATTTGTGCAATTTGCACTTCCACAAATGAAAGAATGCATCAGTCCAGTCCGACAGTCCAGTCCCGCATTGACTGTGACTATGACTATGTGTTGATGTTTCCACGATTGTGCTGAGGTCGTTCAAGAGCTGAACCGGGCTGGTCACGCTGCAGACCTGGCGTGCGCGTTCAGAGGAAGACACATCTTCTTTTGCCAAAGAATTCAGGTACATTGAAGAAAAGGGGTCGCCAGACACCACAAACTTGGCGGCCGCTTTCTCATACGAGATTCCGAGAAAGCACTTCCATGAGCTTCCCAGTTCGCCAGGTACTACTACATGTCCATCCATCCTGAGTTGATGAAAGAGCCTTGGATTAGACACGGAGGACACGGATTCATGGGATGTGTCTATTTTTTGTGTAGATCACCATTGAAATACCCAAAGTTGTCGGGTAGTCTTTGGCCGAGGAGTGCGTCGTCATCATGGGCACTGCTGGGGATATTGATGAGGACCTCCTCTTGGAGAGTGGGGACGGCTCTCCAGAAAAGGTGGGGGCAATAGAACATGGAATCAACATATTTGCATTGGTTCCTTTGACGATGAACAGAGAAGAGAGCCGACGGCCAACTGGGGCAAGATAATGAATTCTCCTGTGTCTTCTTGTACCAAACGTTACATTTTTCCCCGATTGAGCCATCATGCAGGTTATGGCAGCGCTCCAAGCCAAGTTGGACATCGCCAATGAGAAGATCGAAACCCTTACGACGGAGGTGCAAAGGGTGGGTGGTTCTTTTCTCTGCAGAAGAAGCATTTGTTAATGACAGATTTACCATTCTTGGTTCCAAGGACCAGGGGCTTGTTAAGTGATTGTCCCGGCCAGTTTCATACTTGCAGTGTTCAGTTCTCATGTATGGCGCTGTATGCGCTAGATCTACCTCGAAATCCAAGAACCGTTTCGATCATATGATGGCTATTCCAGGAAGCTTTGTGCCCTCACATGGGGGAAGTTACTGGCTACTAGAGCATCCTTATCAGCCCATCCCCTCAAAAAGCTGATGGTTTTATCAGCTACTAATAGTCATGGCCTCCAACCTAGTAGCGATGGCCTCCAACCTAGTAGCGATGACCTCCGACCTAGTAGCGATGCCCTCCAACCCACTAGGGATGGCCTCCAACCTAGCTAGGAAGCGATGGCCCCCAACTTACTGTAGTAGTTTCTAGCTACTAGTAGCTATATGGCCTCCAACCTACTAGCGATGGAGTCCAACTTAGTAGCCTCCAACCTAGTAGCGATGGCCTCAAACCTATTAGCAATGACCTCCAACCTAGTAGCGATGGCCTCCAACCCAGTAGCAATGGCCTCCACCCTAGTAGCGATGACCTCCAACCTAGTAGCCATGGCCTCCAACCTACTAGCGATGGCCTCCAACCTAGTAGCGATGGCCTGCAATCTACTAGCGATGGCCTCCAACCCAGTAGCGATGGCCTCCAACCTAGTAGCGTTGACCTCCAACCTAGTAGCGATGGACTCCAACCTGGTAGCGATGGCCTCCAACCTAGCAGAGATGGTCTCCAACCTAGTAGCGATGGTCTCCAACCAGTAGCGATGACCTCCAACCTAGTAGAGATGGCCTTCAACCTAGTAGCAATGACCTCCAACCTAGTAGCGATGGTCTCCACGCTTTTAGGTTCTAGCTACTAGTAGTAATGGCCTCCAACCTACTAGCGATGGCCTCGAACCTAGTAGCCTCCAACGTAGCAGTAGTAGCGATGACCGATGACCTCCAACCTGGTAGCGATCCTAGTAGCGATGGCCTCCAACCTAGTAGCGATGGCTTCGAACCTAGTAGGCATGACCTCCAACCTACTAGCGACGGCCTCCAACCTAGTAGCGAGGACCTCCAACCTAGTAGCCATGGCCTCCAACCCAGTAGCGAATAGGGCCTCCATTCTAATAGCGATGGCCTCCAACCTAGTAGCTTTTTCTTCAAACTAGGCATGACCTCCAACCTACTAGCGATGGCATCCAACCTAGTAGCGATGGCCTCCAACCTAGTAGCGATGACCTCCAACCTAGTAGCCATGGCCTCCAACCCAGTAGCGATGGCCTCCATTCTAATAGCGATGGCCTCCAACCCAGTAGCGATGGCCTCCAACCTAGTAGCTTCTACTTACTAGTAGTTATGGCCCCCAACCTACTAGCGATGGCCTCCAACCTAGTAGCGATGGCTTCCAACCTAGTAGCTATGACCTCCAACCTAGTAGCCATGGCCTCCAACCCAGTAGCGAAGGCCTCCATTCTAATAGCGTTGGCCTCCAACCTAGTAGCGATGGCCTCCAACCTAGTAGCGATGGCCTCCAACCTAGTAGCGATAACCTACAACCTCTCCAACCCAGTAGCGATAGCCCCCAACCTACTAGCGATGGCATCCAACCTAGTAGCGATGGCTTCCAACCTAGTAGCGATGGCCTCCAACCTAGTAGCGATGACCTTCAA